CATAAACGAACATACCCTTGGAACAGTTAACTGGAACACGTGATATCCGCATAAACGGGAGCTGTGCACGGTAAATACCCTAATCGGAAGCCTCAGTTTCGTATTTCTTAACCGGAAATGAAGAATGTGAAAGTGAAAGCAGGATTTAATGTCATCAATTTACGTCTTGTTTAGCGGTAATATGAAATAGGCACTGCCTATAAGCGAGCGCACATAGTTCAGTAACATTTGTGATGATAGTGTAGAGTCCCCCTTACCTTAGGATGATTCAGGCAAGATTTTGATAAAATCCCTTAACTGGTACAGAGGAAAAAGGATCTTACAGAATGAACCTCAAATTTCCATATTGGGACCAAGAGAGGTCACACCCTCCGTGCCAGACTCCTTTGTCATAGTATAATCCAGGCCTAATTTAGTCAAAATCCATATACCTGTTTAGGACTTGTAGCGCTTTAAGAAAAAGCTGACGGATGGACGGACGGACGTAGGACGTCGCGGTAGGGAATACGCCCATCACAGTCTTTCGGACCAGGTGAGCTATCAAAACCACACAAAACTTCTTACCCCTGCATTTGTTATACTCATAACCATTGCATATTACACATATCAAGTTTTGCAGAGACTGAAAAACTGTCAAGAATGGGACCGAACTTTCAGATAACAGAACAGGTTAATCGATATAACAGAATGAAAACAATCCTATAGGCTCGTATGAAATAATGTATACTATATATTATTACGTATTACACAGTATTACATTGACCGTTAAATCATAAAGAATGTGGCCTGACTCCTAGAAAACGGAACAGGTAAATAACATTTCGATGGGAGATCCGAGTTGTACCTGGTCTGTACCGGACACAAAGAGCTGATATGTGATACCGTATGACAGTTATGAAAACACAACTGCACGTTAAGCATTTGTTAATTGCATTCGTTTTGGTATATAGCTACCCTTCACCTGGATTTCTACACCTCAACGACTTACATAAGTGCCCCGGGTGAGGAAAACTACGGTCAAAGTACAACGTGGCTATGTTTACCTGCATATTGTACCGTGTCCATATAGTGTATGTGTTATTATTTACATATGTCGGTTTGGGGCGTTTAAAAACACCGTAAAACACCATTATTAAATATGCAATGATAACAGCGCTGGAAATTACACAAAGCAAAAATATTTGTTTAAAATTCTATGCAGATCAAACTTGAATATTTATTGATTTGAACACGTCGATAATTCTTTTAATATATTTATCGAAATTGGTCTGAATTTTTCTAAACAAAATTTTCTTAAATAGATTTTTGAAGTCCTGAACGAACAAAGTACCATAGGTTTTTGATCCCCTGCTTCGCATTCAACTTGTTCAATCACTTTAATATATGGTACCAAGTTATAATGTGATTGAATACATTCTTGACGTTTAAATTGTGCATATTTACTTTTACATTGATTATGTAGATGTTTTCAGATCCTTTCCTTTTCTGTTTTTTACTTGATCATATTACTTCCTGTTTTGATTACTTGTATCCATGTTTTGTTTCTATGTCATTTGTTGGAGCATCTGTAAGCTGCTTATCATGTCTGCATCGGCATTTGTTTTTCGTATTTTCAATAGCAGCAGCCTTAAATTCGTTCGTCTTTGTTTTCATTGATTTGATATCATTGATAAACTTGTGATCAGTATATAGATTAGCAAAAGGTATGTGTTTGTGTTTTTATAGTTGCTACAGTACAATCCAGGGATATTTGCTTTTGTAATTTCCACATACAAGTATTGGCACATTAACATGATGGAGAGGACAAATTGTTGCTATGTTTGTTCTAAGGTCGTCAAAAGATACGGATACCCGAGATGTCCCTTTTTGTTAACTTTATAAAGTATGTCGAAGTTCAGTCGATATTTGGTTGATTTTGACCCGAGGCTCCGTCAAGTATAGATAAGTGTTGCGTAGAATAAACAAACTACTCAAATAATTTTATTTGGCAAAGGATGGAGAATTTATTGCATCCGTAGATGCTTAAATATCACATAAATGTTGTCAAGTGTATTAGGTAAGTGTTGCATAGAATAAAGTGAACAATTCAACTAACTTTCTTATGAACAGCGTGTACAATTTGATAACACTCGCAGATGATTATCTATCATACATGTAAATATTGTACAAAACCATTAAATTCCTAGGCCCTACTGCTGGCAAATTAGCTACATCACGTATGTAAACCGATAGCGAAGACACCCATGCTTCAGGACTCACACAACTAAATCATTTACTATGTGTTATTACCAAACATTTTAGCTATTAACTTTAATATTTGAAGTTCAACACCAGTGACAACTGTCTAAATTCATAAATACATACCTTGCAAAGACTACAAAATGACTTTTTTTGATAGGTTTAATGGCATATTGGAGTGTCAAAGCGTCCAGAAGCTGACAACCGGAAGTTTACAAGCAAAACCGGTGACCCAAAACAGAAACGCCCCCAGACATTTTGCCCCTGTGCAAATACGCACACAGACATGGAAATATATCAAAAGTATACATTTTTCAAAAGTTATATACCTGGACATTTCATTTAACTAAAAAAAATGTCATCAGTTCCTTATTAAACGTCTTCAGTGGCCCAGTAATTAGCCGGAACTAATTTTAGATAGGGACATTTTGAAATGTTAAAAGTAAGTTATTTTTTGAAAGTATATTCAACAGCAAGTACAATTGTGAAGTTTGGTGGGTATGCAACTATTGGTTATGGAGAAATGTCTTGTCCCGATGACCTATACAGTCAGAAGCAAGACATTTTCAATTTATTTTTAATTAACCTGCCATAGATCAACTAATGTATATTTATAGACCTCCATATATTGCTAATATTGTTCAAGGTTTCTTACAGGACCCAGACCATTAATGGTTGTTTGATATGTACCTACACTGGTAAGCTGCTACTTAAACAAGGTTAGTGACAGGCCCTCACCACACCACTGGGAGAGCTATGGGGATAGGGGAAAGATAATGCCATAAACTGTCAATTGCCTGTGTAAACAATCAACAATAACACACTACCCCATCCGCACAGATGTATATAATGACAAAACATCTCAACACCCACCATTCATTTCAAAAATGGGGAGAACGCTGGCTAAAATTTCCAAAACAAATGGACTTCAGAGAGGGCATATTCCACACAACAAAAGAAAGACACAGACACCTGTTTGCACCCAATTTCCATGCCAACATCATGAATCCAAGGTAAACCACGAATTTCTTAAGTTCTTATCAAAATGTTGAGAAATGTTTAACATTTTGATAAGACAAAGTTTTGAAAGACAATCCATAGTCCCCCACTGGTAAAGATTTCTACATTCAACAAACAGTTCACTTAATTCAGGATGTACCTTCTGTTAGGTAAGTATCCGATACATACTTCTTGCACTCCCCAGATGTCCTTGTACACCAAATCTGGTTACTCCAGGTGAAACAGGATAGAAGATATGCCCTGGACAAACATTTTCAAAAGTAAAGGTCAAACGTCAAGTCATAGGTCACAGTGTCCAGATGTTTGCACTACTGCAATCCAAATATGTCCTTATATACGAAATCTGGTTACTCCAGGTGTGAAATAGTTTATGTCCCGAAAAAACTCCTCGGACTGAAGGACGGGTGGACGGAGTGAACACCTAAAGCTCCCCCCCCCCCCCCCTTTAAAAAAAATTACAGATAAAAAAGGTGAGAGACTAAAAACAGAAAAGCATGTGTTTTATCGGTGCAACTATTGCTTAATGACCCAACATCCACACACCGCTCCCCTAGCACGTACGATACCCGACGTCAACAAGCTGACGGACAGACAAGCTGATTCCAATTACTCCCCCCCCCCCCCCCCCCCCCCCCCCCCCGCCCTTAACTTAGTTGCGGGGGTATAATAAAGTGTATAATATTTTTACTATAAAGAGTATCTTATTGTTTTTATATAATTGCATATCTTCGTCTATAACACAACTTCAGCCTTAAGTACTTCCCCTGAGGAAATATTACTTTGACAGAATACATATTAATGAGTTATTACTGCTTCAAATAACTTTAAAACATGCGTAATATAATAAAATGTTTTAGTATGATATAAAAAAAAATCGGTATTTACCATATTTGCATTGATGATTAAATGTCCATGATTATATGAAATTGGGCATCTATCATGTTTGGCATGCTTAAAAAGTACTTTACCGGTTTTGATATTATATAAAAATAATTCTGTAGACAGAATATATATGGACAGTTTTTGAAGAAGTTTAAAATATAGATTGCCATTGTAACTATACATAGGTAAGTTGACGATGTTGGTTATATTTAAAATTTTGTGAACATTTTGCATGTTCTTCTAATTAAAATTATCACTACACTTACTTTATATATATACCAATGACATATTAGTATCAAAATAACAGTAGTTATATACACTTTACACTATCATAATACTCTCGTCACACAACCTGGTGTTTCGTAAGGAGGTCCACTACGGTTATAAGTAGTAATTATGAATAATAATTATTTATGCAATTATTGATTATTTCTATGCAACTAAAAATGGCAAATGAATAAAAGAAATCAAAATGGGAGCCAAATGTTGACCCCACCTTCAACATATCACTTCTTAAATTCATTTTCACAGAAGATACAATCCTTGCCATGCTTTTGTTTAAATCGTCAACGTCAAGACAAAATATAGTGTGACTACTGCAAAATATTATGTATAAATATATCTGCGAGTAAAGTGACGCATTCATTTATTGGTATTCTTTAATACATGCGATACCAAATGCAATATCTATTGCATCCCGCAAGGAAAATCAGATCAAACACATGCTAAGGAATAAGTATGTAGCTGATCAATTGTTTTTTCTCTGAAAATAATCCTCATTTGAACAAAAACTGTCGTAGCCTAGTGTAGTGTTTATAAATATAATTAATATTTTGTTCAAGTATTCGTCCTGTTTATATTTATGCCTTTGCTAAAACCGCCATGATGTGAATTCTACCTTTTTCGTCACCAATCCAAATGTGGCCATCCGGATCTGTTGCTATTGCGCCATTACAAGATCTTTCTTCTGCAGTGTAGATGCACTTTGCATTTTTGCCACTCACATCTACGGAACAAACCTTGTTCCAACCAGACCCCGTGAGTGTAACGAGAAATCGTTTTTCGTTGTTGATGTTACAGAAGGATACATCAAATGGTGCAAATGGAGAAATGTTCGATTCTGACTTCATTTCCCCCTTCCAAGTTGATATACTGTTTCCGTCCCTGTCAATTACGTTTACGAATCGACCAGTATCCTTCCAGTCGATGACAGCCATGACACCACCCAGAGTACAGCTCACACGACCAGGTTCGAAGAAGCCGCTTTGCGCAGTGCATTCAAGTTCTTTAGCTGTTCTATTTGAAATAGACATCTTCGCCAACCTAGTCGGTTTCGATTGGCTTTTCGAACACAGGCACACTATGACATCTTCACCTTTGAAGCAAAGGCCTCTTGTGGTGTAAGCTGGATCGAATTTGTGCAGAGATAACGACTCTTCGCCCTTTGGTAATTTCTTTAGCTCACAGCCATTCCATGTTGTGTATAGTACATCACCGACGGGAGATAAGCAGAAGTCATCAACGCGCTCCCCCATATTCCGTGATTCAAGGATTTGACCGTTGTAATCTATGAGATGTATTGCTTCGCCGTCGTAATGCAGTATCCATGCCTTCGATGAGTCGACGGGCCAGATCGACCTGATAAAATTTTTTTTTGAAGTATTGAAGGAACAAAGCTCGGCAAGTTCTTGATCTTCAGTTACCCATTCTAAGCGACCAATTACTTTAGGTATACTGTGCATGTAATACTCTGACTGGATAAACTCTAGACGCTTGGAGCGCGTATATTGACTTTTAGATGATTTCAGCTCCTTTGCTTTCAGGTATTTTTCTTCGATCGAACCACTTGTTCCCTTCAAAATGTCATCTATTAATTTCGTTGTTTCTGTCTCATTTTGACGATAATTCGCAATCTTCTGAACCATTTCGTTACCGGTCTTTTGCACCTCTTGAATAACATTATCCATCCTTGTCTTTGCTGTCTTTTCCAGTGATTTGATAGCATTAATGACATAATATTGTTCGGAAGCTAACTCACCTATAGCTTTATCAACTTCCTTCATTTGTATTTGTGTATGCTTTTCATGGCTGCTACACTCCAAACATATTTTCCTCTTGCAGGTTTCACACAAAATTGTTGCCAGATTAGCAGGATGGGAGGCACATTTCGATGTCATGTTTGTTCTAACACCTACAACACACGAACTACGAAACGTCCTTCTAGGTCAGGGGATACAACATAATAAAATATCTTTACCTGTGAACGTCAATGTTTATGGGTTAATGTGTATTTAATACATTCTTGGGAGCGCCGTGACTTTCAAGTTTAAACATGTATGTAGTGATCTTGCTGGGCATAGGATGTGCCAAAAGTTCAAATAAAGAAAAAATATTCAATTGTTGACATGTAAAAATGCAATTATACACAGCAAACAAACGCTTTAGCATTTATTCGAAAAACTCAACGAGGCATTCACGCCTCAGAGAAAGTGGTTTCTTCTATCATCGTGTGTTTATACGTACACAACAGACGTGAATAGGAACTTCCGATCTAGATACATGTATACCTTTACTAATAAAAGAAGTAATTGACAAATGCAACAGTTTACTTAATATGAATAAATTTGAAATAGTCTAGTCAACAAAAAACACATCACCACTCTCCCAATTATGGTAGTTGTACGAAACATTCACATCTTCAAAACGTCGTGATCAGCAAGTATACACATATATGTCACACTATTTGATTTGGGACAACAGTGTGCCAACACTCCAAAAAAATAAATATGAAGGGTCACGTGCAGACATTGTATATCTTCTGTCGAACAACTGCATAATATATCTTTATGGTAGGAAGCACGAAGCTTTCTTTTTTCCAGAGATTAATCATGTCAGAGTGAAACATGACTAATCAAGGAAATATTCAAATATCGTTTTTCCACTAAATTATATGGAAATAGAATAATTACTAGTCGTTCAGTCGTGGTAGATGTGAAAAATAATTAAAATATAAAGGGTAGAGTGTAAGTACTATTACGTTGAATATAGGTAAAATAAACAACCTTAGCTGTTAATAGGACTTTAAACAAAATAAAACCAGACCAAACACATGTTCTTTCCCCTTGTTTTGAAACACTTATAACAATGCGTAACACACATATCAAGTATTACAGAGAATGTAAAAACTGTTAAGAATGGGGCCGATATCTCAAGTTGTTTAATTTTATAGGATTTAACGTCCTTTCAACAACTGAAATCATTTAAGAACGTGCCTCCATGCTAGTTGTGTATGCGTGTATGTGTGTCGGAGATAGGGTATTTTCCTCCTTCCGAGAGCGCGGATCTGATGCCGACTTTATACTTAGTTTAAACATGTACAGTGTATGTAGTGATCTTTGTGGACAAATAATGTGTCGATAGTTCAAACATTTAGCAATGCAATTATACACGGTACTTCTATTTTACTGGCGCTACAAGCAAACAAACCCTTCAGCATTTAATCAAAAAATTAAACGAGGTAATTAAACCTCAGATGACATATATCATCTGTCATCGTATGTATATACGTACACAACAGAAGTGAATAGGAACTTCCAGGTAATCTACAATAACAACAGCTTACTAAACATGAATGTTTTAAAATAGACTAGTCAAGAAATAACCAATCACTAATCTCATAATTATGGTAGTTGTACGAAACATTTAGATCTGCAAAATGCCGTGATCGGCAAGTATACACATGTATGTCACTATAATTGTTGTGGGACAACTGAGTGCCAACATTTAAATAAATTAAATGTCAAGGTTCACGTGTAGGCATAGTATATCGTCTGCCGAACAACTGCATACGATATCTTTTTTTTTTTGTAGGAAACACGATTCTTTCTTTTCCAGAGCTTGAGCATGTTTCATGAGGGGTAGATCACAGTGACTAATCGAGGGAAAATTTAAAATGTTTTGTTTTTTTTTAATTTGAAAGGGAAAACTCTACTATATGGAAATAGAACAATAACTAATCATTCAGATTCTCCGTCTTTTGAGATGTGAAAAACACAAATTCATAAAGCAATATCATTTCAAAAGGCTTAGTATGTTTAAATTCGTTCAATTACTTAAAATCGAAAACACCAAAGAACATAATAATTTAGGAAAGTATTTATCACTAGCGTTTAAACGTAGAGCAGATTTATTAAGAGGTCATCACTAGAACAGGTCATGTTAAGATACATGTATATCAGTTTATTGATTTCAAATTAAATGATATACCTTTATATTGATAAGTCTTGCCTGGGTGAATGAGGGTGAAAAAGGTTCTGGCGTGGTTATGAATGTGAGTATAATGAATGACGAATGATTGCCCCCGCTGCTGCTGATATGATGAAGATGACGATGATGATGATAATGGTTATGATGATAAAGAGGATGAGGATGAGGAGGATGATGTTGTTGATGATGAGGATGATGATGATGTGTGCGAGTTAGTGTGAGTGTCCTTGATGATGAGGATGAGGATGTGTGCGAGTCAGCGTGAGTGTGTCCTTGTGAGTGTCTTTGTCTTATCTATAATTGCCACAAGTTCTAAAACTTCAGCAAAATCAAGCAAAAATTCTTTCCTCTTGATTTGTAACACTTATAACAATGCGTATAACAGTTTTACAGAGATTGAAAAACTGTCAAGAACGGGGCCGACATATCATGTGGTTTAAATTTATAGGTTTTAACATCCCATCAACAATTAAAGTCATTTAAGAACGTTCCCCATGCTAGGTGTGTATGCGTACTGGTGTGTATGTTGGCCGGAGACAGGGTATGTTGGTGTAATTGCCTCCTTGCAATAGCGCGGATCTGATGCCGACCTTATACTTTGGTCGCTTTTGTGTCTGGACAACTCTCAGATTACAGAATAGGTGAATCGATATCACGGAATGAGAATATGAAATAAGGTACACTGTGAACTTTAATTGCTCATCACAATAAGTAAGATTATGTTCAATTTTACAATACGTATTACACAGCATTACAGCGATTGATCGACTGTCAAGAATGGGGCCTGCGTCCCAGGTAACAGAACAGGTAAATATCATTTCGACGAGTGACCCGAGTTTTACCTGGCCTGTGCCCGACCGGAGAGCTGATATGTAATACCGTATGACCGTTATGAAAACAAAAGTAGACGTTAAATATCTTTGCTGTGTATTCGTGTTTGTATATAGCTCCCATTCACCTGAGTTTCCATACCTCGACGAGCAATGTAAGTGCCTCAGATTGGGAAAACTGATTGGTGCATGTACAAAGTGCATATGTTTACCTGTACATGTATATGCGACCGTGTCCATATGTGTTATAATTTGTATGTGTCGATTTGGGTCATATAAAAAAACATTATTTCAAATTTTAAGAAATTAAAAATAGAAAGATCAGCTTATACATGTACCTGGAAAATAGAACATACTTAAACAACCGTTTACATATTTAAACCGTATATATTGTAAAGCCATTTCTCAATTTACAACAACCACGATTATTATCGCACAACGTTCGCCCGTCGTCCGCACACATGTGCGCAAGCAATAATCGTCCAGATTGTTATCGTTTGAACATCGTGCAAACGTCGTGCACACACCGTGCGCACAACGAACATCGTGGTACGTTGTGTGACCCCACAATTGTACTATAACATATTGGGAACCTGCTTCATTATGTCGATTTTCCTTTCGGTAAAAGCTTTTCATTATTTCATAAAAGGTGTATCACATGCAATCTTTAAATTTGCATGGCTGTTGGAAATTTACAATTATGATTTCCTTTGATATATAAGAAACTTCAGTGATTAAACTGTCGAATGGATATTTCTCATCCTACAGTACTAAATAAGTCAAGTGAACTGGTTGGAAGCTATGCTATCATATCTTATTCTACGAATAAATTGAATGTAAATAGTCATTTATTAATGGCATACAAATGTAGAAACTATATCAATTAATTTGTTAATGCATTTATTTAAAATCGGCAAATTTAATTATTAATGCTCTAACTGGTTGATCACAAGCATGACAGTAACGGTCCCAAATAAGTTGCCTCTTCCAACATGCAGTTGGTAACCACAGTTGTTTTTCTTAATTCCCTTCTTGTAATGTGGTTAAATGGGCACTTTGGTCTTGTTTTATGGTCTCTATCGAGATGTCATTGGGAAATAGGAAATTTCCTTTTTTTGACATATTCATTAGGCTCATTATTGTGCTTTGTTTTATCGTTTTCAACATTCTTGATCTTGGATGACACGACATTAATTGAATTTGACAATGATTAAGACGACCAGTGTCAAGATGAGGCAGATGGCACTTACACTTCGGGACACCCTAACTACACCATTATACCCGGCCTCCTGTACACACATATAAATGCACGCTTACATAACACACATAGAGGCACGCCCTTAAATGACCTTAGCTGTTAAAAGGACGTTAAACAAAATTAAACCCAACCAAACTAATCGTCCGTAGACTTACGGAACTCAGTACTCATAGATGGTCTGTTATTTTTATTGTCCGTTGTCATTAGAGACTTCTATGGTGCCATATTGGTTAGAACAATTAATGCAAGAAGAGTGATAATACTATTGAGAACAGAATATAAATTGTACAAATATTTGTTCTACGAACTATACTCTGGCTGTCATTATGGTTGCTATGTTAATACCTATTATACAGATTTAATTATTTGGTTTTGGTTTTATTTTATTAACTTTCTATTAACAGCTGAGATAATTTAAGGACGTGAGAATTGTTGAGATTGATTTGGAAATAAATGTAAATTGGATATATTTCAGGCAACGATAATCAACTTAGCATATTTGTATAACGATGTCTTATTTTGTGATGCAGGTCAAAAGTTCACGACAGTCTTAGGACCATGCATACGGTTACTTCCGACAGCGAGCGACTGATGTCAGTCGTAAAACTTTTGCAGATTTTATTAATACGTGGAACGTTTTTGCACTTCCTTCTTATTGATCTTCAATAATTTAACTGGTGTTGGAGGATTGGTCTTCTGTCAAACCTCGTTGGACCGACACGCCAGGGCAAATGGCACCACGCAAAGTGACCAACAAAACCAAAGGTTTCACACGGAGCTGTATAAAATAAAGATCCCACAAATTGTCGTAACATTTCGTTCT